AAAAAAAAAAAAAAAAAAAAAAAAAGCTAATTAAGCCTCCTTGCCTAAGAATTTGTGTTCTTTATCCTTTAACACTCTCTACAAATCCTTTTCCCTATTCCTATTAAGCAAAAAGCAGCATTTATCCCAGAGCTGACTGACGTGTTGATTTAACAGTTACAGCAAACATCACGCAACAGTTCTGCCTGTTGTTCCTGCACTGGGTTATTAGTTGGGATTTATCTCTTACCATTCACCTGACAGTTCTTATGAGATCTACAGGGCATATCTTATTTTTGTGTTATTTACAATACTTTTCTCTAGACTAAAGTTAGACAAAAGCTGCCAATGTAATTGGGGAAGGATAGTGAACCGAAAGAGATACAATATGACAGATAGCATAGAAAACCTCCATAAATTTACAAATTAATTCTGACTGGGGTTTATAACTCTATTGCTAAAAAAAAAAAAAATGTTTATTTTAGCTTTTTTAACATATATTGGGTTTTGTTTGGTTTTTTATTTTTTAAGTACCTGTGCTTTCCCGTATCTTGCTCGAGGACTTTGTGGATATTGATTCACTAGTGTTTCAAAGGCCCTTAGAGCTTCTTCAACTTTTCCCTGGAAAGTAGAGATATTTATCAGCAATTCTATCTAATAAAAATGCTGGAGGATGAATGACCTAACAAGACTTTGGTTTCCACAATTAAAAAACAAAAACAAAATAAGCAATGCACTCTGAATCAACAGTTTTCACTCATACTTTTCTTAGGATTGCCTTCTTATTTAAGAGAAACTGATTGTCATTATTTATGAAACAATACTACCTACTTTCCAAGGTTAAAATTAATAGCTTTTTTTATTTTACTCACTTTCCCTTTGTTGACTGCACAAAATGCTGAGATGACAATAACCTGTCTATATAAAAAAGTAAAGATTTTGCTGGTAATAACAAAGTCCAAAATGAATGTAACAGAGAATACATATGTGGAAATTTTCTCTCCACCCACTTCTCTTGATGAACAGTATCGTAACTACAGTTCTTCCAGGGGAAACACTGTAGACTCATCCACAGTGCATGCCTCTTTCCTCCAAATCTTTTGCATAATGATGTCCCTCAGGAGACCTCACATGTGTTCTGTGTCCCTTCCCTGTCTCACATAAAGTCCGAATGTAACTATGGTATTCTCATGATGGATGCTGACCAGCAAGTATGGATGGAAGTCGAACCAGCCACACTGTTAAATAGTTTCTAAGCACTGCTTGGCAATATTTGGCAACAGACCCTGCTGCCACTTCCAGCTCTTACAGCTTTATGAATATGAGTGGGCCATTACACACAACTGCCTTGCTATCTTCAAATATTACACATCTAATTTATTACTAAATTTATGCTGATTTTGGTTTTTTTTGCTTTTCACGGTCAAGTTATTAAATTCAGAACTACCCAAACTGACTGATAGATGTTAGTCTTGCTGCCACTAGCGACAAGCAGGAACATCTGCTTTGTCCTCTAAGCAGCTGTATGGGAGCAGAGACATTTACAGGACACATGCAGAATCCCAACAGAAACAACACCTACTTCAAAGATCTGCAGCTAACATTCCCAAGGCATATGAACAATTCCTGAGAGATCCAGAGTAACATACACATTTTAAGTTCTCTGTTAAGAGCTGACTTCAGTACTCAAATGGGCAACAGTGATAGGACAGAACTAGTCCTGTTCCATGGGATGAATTTAAGCATAAATTCAATGGTTAAGCTAAATATTTTCAAGGTCAACAGTGAGCAAACATACATGAACAGACATACACTTATGACTTTAAAAAAATTAAATTAAATATCCAGCAGAAGTTAAATTTGAAGGACAAATATGCACTGAATATTTAATTTTTAAAAATTAAGTTCACAAAAAATAATCTAAAAGTCATTCTCCTTTTTCTAAGTTTTTAATTTATCATTTTTGTCCATCGCCTACAGTCCTGAGTGAAACATTACAACTTACTTTTTTACGTAGTTTTTCTGCAGCATCTAATTCAGCTTTAATGGTCTTATCAAACTTGTTTAAGAGCTTTGGCTTCTTCTTTTTAGCTAGAAGATTTAAAAAACATACAATTCATTACTTCTTTTGCATTTCACAGCAATTGTCTGGAGTAACACTCAACTAGGGAATGTGTTGGTAAAGTGCATGATTTCCAAAGAAGGCAGTTTCAAATTACACTGAAGATAAACTGATTTCTTACTTATTACAGTCAAAACCTCCTATATGGAAAAGCAAACTTCAGTCATTCAAACTGAATGACTTGGCACTCAACTTCTGGATAAAGAATCTTTCATCACATAACAGTCAAGGATTTTTTTTTTCCAAATGGTTCAGTTGATGTGGGAGAACAATATGAACTGTTATTTTTCCACACTTATGTGGTATTACGAAAAACATGATTACCAGGATATATTAGTAATTTCTAAAAGTTGTGACTATGTAGGTCTACTTCTTTGCCTGGAGCAATTAGTGAGGCTGCATCTGAAGTCCTGTGTCCAGTTCTGGGCTCCTCAGTACAAGAGAGACGCGGAGCTCCTGGAGAAGGTCCAGTGGAGGGCAACAAAGATGATTAAGGCATGGGAGCATCTCTCTTACAAGGAAAGGCTGAGGGAACTGAGCCTGTTCAGCCTTCAGAAGAGACGACAGAGGGGATCTCGTCAATCAACGTCTATAAGTATCTGAAGGGAGGGTGTAAAGAAGGATGGAGACAGGCTCATCTCAGAGGTGCCTAACAATAGCATACGAGGCAAATAGCAGAAACTGGAGCAGAGAAAGTTCCACCTGAACATAAGAACTTTTTTATTGTGTGAGTGACCGTGCACTGGAACAGGCTGCCCAGAGAGGCTATAGAGCATCCCTCACTGGAAATATTCAAGAGTGCCATCTGGATACAAATCTGTGCCATGTGCTCTAGGATGACCCTGCTTGAGCAGGGAGGTTGGACCAGATGATCCAGTGTGGTCCCTTCCAACCTTACCCATTCTGTCATTCTGTGATTAGAAGAGTTCACAGAAATCATAGTTACTCAGTAGAGTTCTTGTTGAACTCAAGTTCAACACTGAAATGTCAGACCAAGACCTCTAAGTGATCACGTTTCTATAGCTTAGTGAGCTATCACAGAGAAGCAGAGCAGCAGCAGTATGTAGCAAACCAGCCTTGAAGTAAATTGTGTATACTGCATTTGAAGCAAATTGAAGTAAATGGTGTTAATTTAAACAGCTATTTACTTCATAGCACTTCACTCTTAAACAATGTCTATTTGGTTGCATTAAGTATACTTAATGCAATACTTAAATACCCTTAACTGGTTGTTTAAAAATGCAAATACATTACTGAAAGGATATGGCAGCAGGTAACTGCTTTTCTCCAAATTTGCTACAGCTTAACTTTGATTTTGCATTTCATTAGGAAAAAAGGACTCTGACTTTTCTGACACAGGTAGGGGAAATATGCATTGGCTGATACAATTAATTAGTAGTTATACATATATGTAATCAGTGGCACATGTTTTTGCTTTAATGATGCATTACTGGTTTTCCCCCCTCTATGGAGAATAAGTCATTAATAGCATGAAATTACTTCTTTCTTTGTATACATTTAAACAGGGAATGTTGTAACTGGTATATGTAAAGCTAAACCCAAACATCCAACAGTTTAACATCACAAGACTGCTACAATGCTACAGCAAGTATTTTGGATAACAAGGTATTGTAACTAGCTACGTTTTATTCTGCTTCCCAAGTCCTCGGGTGCATTATTCAGGAATTACAAGAGCCACCACATACTACTGGAAGCTGTGCTCATGATTCCTTAAATGATACTGTCTCTGAGACTCTGATCCTATGTACAATCTTAGGCAGACAAATCACGTCATCCACATTAAACCCCAGAAAACACCCCTGTCTTACTTAATGCTTAAACAATACTAAGTCCATCCAATCATTAGAGGATTCTTAACTCTAAACTGCTTCTGTATGGGATGAAAAATTAAAACCCTTAACCACTTTGGGGCTTTTTGATGTGAAACTTTCACTGTCGTATTCAATGCTGAACTTGGACAGCTCTGTGCAGAGAGAGTTTTTTTATATTGTCTTTTTATATCCTTGTTGATCCTTCTTGTAACAGAAGAGACCATAATCTTTCATTGCATTAGATATCAAGAAGTTAAGAAGAAAAAAACCCCAAAACTGTCTGACATATAGGAGTTTACAACTTTTTCAGGATAAACCACCACATAATTTACTTTAATATATTGGTTTTGCTCCCCTAAACACTTCAGGTTTTCATTGCAACCCATGACTTGAAATCAAGTATTTATACTGAAACACACAACAATGCATTTAGGAAATGTAGTTATCATGGAACTAAACTGACCAAAGAGGAGCTTTGTTTCGTGTTTTTTCATAATACACATGTTTTTAATCTCAGTTGTTCCTTCCCCAAGGAAGGAAGGAAATTGGAAAGCAATACTTTCCTATCTGTGGCCTATTCCAGTCTTCCTCTATCTTACTTTAATATCATCCATTTAATAGGAAAGCAATGTCTTCACTGCATTTTCATGCAGTTAATGATGATGAGGATTAAGGAGCACAGCCCTGGCTCTCTTCCAAATGTTCACATCCCTTGAATCCAGTAAAACTCACAGAACCAGCTCTCATCACAAAGGCAAGGATCCCTCCACCCCAAACCTTCAGTCCACAGTGATTAACAGCTAGGGTCAGAAGTTTCTTACACATCACTAGGCCTGAGAAGAATAATCCATAACAGGTAAAAGGCTTGTTAGGTTTTATCTTATTTTCTTTCTTCTTTTCTAAAAATATGCCAACTCAGTTTTTCAAACAACCATTGCTATTTCTAAAGCCTAGCTTTCTCAACAGCAGGTGTGGATGAACCCAGAAGCATTAGCCCAAGGAACCAATGAAAGCAAATGATGCTAAGGACTTTTTAGGTTCATTGCGCTCTTAGCTGCCATGTGAAACTGTCCTTTGTTGTTAGCTGGAAAACTGAGGCATGTCAGTTCCTCTGAGTACATGATCTGGGGACCTTCCAGCTGGACATCACCACCAAACACCTGGTTTGATTTCTGTTCTCTAAATAGGAGGTTGTACATGCACAGAGGAAATAATGTAAACCCCAACTAAAATGCCAGTTCTCAGTTCTTACGGCATGAATGAAAACTTTTATCTAAGGCTGGTCAGTTATACATGAACTGTATATTCAGTAAGACAGGACAGCTATTTGTCAGCTTTTTAGCTTTCAGCATTCATGAAAAGACAGAGTCACTTGGTCATCCCAAACTCAGTAAGCATGGCAACAGCAAGGTTCCTTCGAGGCAAAGGAAAGAAGCTCTCCTACCCAAGAAGAAGCTCTTGCTGCCTATGGGACACTATTTCTGCTGATCATTTGAATTTAGAAGGAGATGACAAATAACTCATGAAGAAAGAGTAAATTAAAATCTCAAAAGTCTGCAGCACAAAGATGTGATATCTTTCCCTTCATATCCAACTTGGGTGATGTGTTGGAAGAACCTTTTTGCCACCTTCCATTACGAAGAAGAATTATCTGACTGTTTTCAGTACAATTATATATCATCTCTAGACCAGCAGGAGATCAATATAAAAAGCTGGAAAGGAGCTGTTAACATAAATATTATTCATCTGCTAGGCACCAATATAACACCGTAAACATTATATAACGAGCAATCATTTTCATCTCCCGCTCTATTCCTATGTTAAAGTATTCACTAGGGAGCTTTCAGTGTAACCATCAAGCATTCCTCTATATTAACCAGATAGCCTGCTATCTCCCTGCAGGGGTATTTTAATAAATTATCCATTTCCTCCTTCTAGTGTAATAATCTTTTAGCAGATGTGACCCAATATATTAAATTTAATATTACAAAGAAGTTAACTCATCTGT